TTCAGAGCATTTCAGCTTCTTAAGACACTATCACTTTCTAAGAATCTAAATTGTTGCTGTAATAATAAAATAATCAAACTTAAATTTGAATATTCTCTTTAAAATCTAATTCTTCACTTTTTTCATTTTTTTCTTTTCCTTATTTTGCAATGATTTTCCTGGGTCTTTATAAATTGGTAGTTGAACAATAAAGGTAAATGTTCAGAGCATTTCAGCTTCTTAAGAYACTATCACTTTTCTTTTTTCTTAAGTGGTAACTTTAGAGCAACATCTCTTTTACAGCACCAAAATAAATAAGCTGAATTTAAAGCTAAGCACAAAAAATTGAAGATATCACATAGCCATTCAACAACAGGTGGCTTTATTAGTATTTCTTATACAGGAATGTGTTGCTGGCTGAAAAATCTTGGTCCAGACTTGGCATGGCTCGGTTCAGTGCGGATCTATAAACATCAACTYAAAACTGGATGTTTGCAGTTATGTTTGAACCATCTGATACACTCTTTCATATTTCAATCAATACATTTATTTGTTAAGAAAAGAGCAGATTTGAAACATGAACGACTTAATATAAAACTTTTCAAACACCTCCGAACCTGGAGTGGGTTGATAGCAGTCACTTTATTTATTAAAAACAACAATCAAGTACAAATCTGTATTTCAGTCTGTGGGGCTAGTTTCAGTCGTTTATAACCAGGTGATATTTAATATAAAACAAATCGTTTTCTCCAGGGTGGAATAAAAAAAACACACTTCTACAATTGGATGCACAAATCTGAATTTATTGTGAATTTTTTTCCTCATCTACAGTTATTACACATACAGGTTCAAATAATCAGATTCTCACTTAAATCATTTAATAAGTGGTGCTTAAGGTTGTTTTTTTTTTACATAAAAAGTCATGGTTGATTATAGCTGGTAGTTTGTTAATGTGTGCGTGTGTAAACTTGTTTTTTGATCATCTTTATTTGGATGTTCACAGGAATGTACATCAAGTTTGTTCTTTTGGAAACTAAAACCCAGTCCTTATACAGGGTTAGATTCAGGGCTATTTTGTGAACTGAGTTTAAGTTTGGGTTAGGGAAGTACAGGTAATAAATAAGTTTGATTCATTTAAAAGGAGATAGTGCAATTTAATAAAWCATGTAACAATTCAAAAGCTARAWAAGCCAGAATTAGCCTAAAGGCTATTTTTCATCCGTAGTCCCCTGGTTCTGTAATTTTATTTGACTTTATATTATTGTTTGTGTTACTTTTATCTTGTATTTTATGTTCTGCACTTTAATAACTTTTGCTAATATAAAAACTGWTTTGTTAGACTGCACTCATGAGAGTTGCAGACTGACAGTGGTGCTGTTGAGGAGCCTGGATCTTTACATGCAGAAGTTGAATGATCAGCGACTGTAATCTGTTAACACTCAGGTGGATTACATAGCATGGACCAGCCAAAGCATAAGCAGCACAATTAACAGATTTTCTACTCACTAAAGACACAATTGAATCTACATTAGTTGTAATAATTCAAAAGAAAATCTAGTTTGATATGTGTAACAAATTTGTATTTAATACTATCTATGCAGACTGATTGCAAACAGCATTTAAAGTTTAAAAATAGGTATTTTTWAAACGAAATTTTAACAGGCTGATAGCTGTTTGGACCATTAGTCATTGTTTCAAACCATTAGTTGTCTAACACTGGAACAGTACATTTTAAACTAAGTTAGCAGCACAGTTTAGGGATGTTAACTTTTAGTTATTTGAAAGAAAACTATATTTTAGTAAAGGTTATGCTGCAAACAATGCAAATCCCACTTTGTTCTTCTAGCATTTCTGCTTCTCCAGTTGGATGTCATTCAGCCATGGCCTACTCCACACAGTGAAAGTGCAGATGTAAGGCTGAAACACAAAGTTTAGAATATGCATCATGTTAATAAAATTAAWATTTGTAAAGATGACTGTAGCAGTTTTTTTTAA